AGACCACTTGCGACCGGTCGTCGCAATTCGTGGATATCCAGCTTGAGCCAGAAATTCTCTTCAAGCGGGTCGACACCTCCGGCGCAAAATAATACGAAAGATACCAATGCTAAACAACCAGCACAGACCCCGCGACCGGAGCCACCCAATCCATTTGGCGCATCCTTTTCTCCCAAGGAAAAAGCTGACAAGCAAGACGAGACTACGACCCCCTTTGACTCTCGTTCCCCAAAAAGCCACCCTTCCTTCTTTCATAATGCCCTCCGGAAACTCTCTTCCTCTTCCTCTTCGTCTGTCGGTGGCGGGTTAGGAAAGATCGCGACGCAGGGGGTAATTTCTGAGCGGCGAGTTATGAATGTTGATCGTCATCGCGATAGATGTAAGATCACCGAGCTAAATCAGTCTAAGCTCCGGCGCGTTGCGTTTTGTGTCGATGTGGAAATTGCGGGGAGGTCCCGCCGGTCTGAATCCGAAGAGGCGGCTTCACAACAGCAGCAACAACAACAACAGCAGCAGCAGGAACAACAACCTCAACCTCAACCTCAACCTCAACCTCAACCTACGCAACAAACATTGCAACAGGTACCACAGCAAGCTCCTGCGAAAAAGAAATCGACAGTGGTCAATCAAATCAGAGGGTTCAAGAGACAAGACTCTAAAGCCGCGGAGAAAGCCGAAGACGCAACGCTACAGCCTTCACAAGCTGGCACCAATGAAGGGCAAACCGAGACGGCGCCAAGTCCAGATGCCAGAGAAACGAAACCTTCGGACCAAGCTAATGAATACGAAAAGCCCGCAGCTGCCAAAGAGCAAACGAAAAAGCAGGAGAAAAAGAAGAGGTCCGAAGGGGAGCGCAAAGAGCGCAAGGAGAAGAAGAGAAGGCAGGCCGAGGCGAATGGAACCATTCCACTTCAATTTACCCGTGACAAAGGATCGTCTGCGCTTCGTCCTGCTCGAGGTCAGGATCAACCAACAACTGATCCTTTGCGAATATATCGCCGTTGCTGTCAGCTACGTGAAACTGGGGTTTTAAAGAAACTTGTGGAACAGATATCTTCGCCGTCTTCGGGCCTTGCGGAGTCTCCGGGGACTGTTGCTGTGTTAAATCTCAGCGGAGTTTGCATGACACTCCCAGATGTTGTTACCTTCGGCGATTGGCTTGCTATCGTTCCAGTCCGGAAGTTAATATTACAAAATTGTGGTCTTACTGATGAAGCTGTACGAGTGATTCTCTCAGGGCTTCTAGCCACAAAGAGTGTTCAAGAATCAAGGTTACGAAGAATGCATTCCAAAAGGCACGGTGACGATGCATCCCATAAGGAAGAGAAAACGGGAGTAATTGAGAAGCTGTCCTTGAAGGATAACCCAAAAATCGGCCATGATGGATGGCGGTACATCGCGCTTTTCATTCATATGTCAAGATCCCTAATCGGAATTGATCTGTCAGGAATCCCGTTCCCGAGAGCTCCGGTCCTCACGAACAGGCCGACTAGTCCCTTGTTAAAACCTAGCAAGCCGCAGGTGGAAGTATCTACGGTTTTCGCAAAGGCATTAGCCAAGCGGCTTGCCGGAAACCATTTGGAAGAGCTAGTTATCAGCGAATGTTATCCATCTGCAGAAGATCTTTCCAAAATTTGCGATGCGGCGAGGGCTGTCGAGTTACGGAGATTGGGGGTAGCAAATAATAAATTAACGGCAGAAGGGTTGGGACATGTCATTCGCTATTTGCTGGCTGGTCACTGCGAAGGACTCGATTTGGGAGGAAACAATCTGGCGGACCATATGGGACTGCTGTCTTCTGCCATACAAAAGACGAAGGACCATCCGCTCAGTGCTTTAAGCCTGGCAGATTGCTCCTTAACACCGAAACCTCTGTGTCACCTCCTCCAAGCGCTTACCGTTTTGCCAAATTTCCGATTTATCGACCTTTCTCATAACCCAGATCTTTTCGCGAACCAGCCGGACTCGCTAGCGATGCTGCGACGCTACCTTCCCCAAATGAGTGAATTGAAGCGAATACACCTGGCGGATGTCAGCCTCTCATCAGAACATGCCATAGCTCTTGCGGAGATATTACCAGATTGTCGTCGGCTATGCCATATCAATATTTTAGAGAACCCCGCTATTGCCCTCTTGGCTGCGGCCAAGGGTGCATCTGCGCAGGAAGAGGCTTGTGCATTATACGCGTCGTTGATGACAGCGGTGCGCATCTCACATACCCTCATCGCAATAGATATCGATGTTCCGACTGCGGACAATAATGAAGTCGTCAAGGCCCTCGCATCTCAAATCGTGGCCTATTCTCTTCGGAACCTCGAGCGTGGTGAACTTGTGGAGGAGCTTTCTGACGGCTCGTCACTAGAAAAACACCCCGTCCCTGTCCCCGTCCCCGACATCCTTTTGCATATTGTTGGAAACGTGGATGATGAGGAAGATGATCTTGTTAAGCCAGCTCCGGATGAGGATTATGTTATTGGTGGTACTGGATTGGTAAAAGCACTAGGGGTTTGCCTTGGTAATACCGACCACAATTCCTTGGAGGGTATGGGTGATGTAACTCCACCAACCAGCGGCACGTCTACACCACTCCGGCGTGCGAGCAGCATTGGAAATAAAAAACCGCGTGACATGTCGAAGAATCTTCTCAATTCTGCAAGGAAAATCCGCGTGCGGTTACAGCCAATTCTTGTCAGGGAAGACAGGGCTGGTAACGAAACGAACTACCGTAGGCATTTTCCCTCCACATTTTTTTTTAAAAAATAATGCCTGTAACTAACAAAATTATTACTATTTGTTCAGGACGACTACAATTCCTTGATTTCACCTTGCAACGGATGATTCAACGTTTTGAAGATGAATTCCCAGACACACGCCTTTCCACTGAATCAGACCCCACAAAATCGTCCCTTCCACAACGGACCCCGTCCCACTCTTCCGCGGGCGATTCTGCAGAGCAGTCTAAACTGGACGATTCCGCAATTTTGGACGTACCTCGGCTAAGCCAGGGCGATCAGGATCGAGACCCAGATGCAGACATAGCCATCGACGACGAAGATACAGACCAATACGCCATCCGCTTATCCCGCACGAGCTCAAACACATCCTTGCACTCCAGAGCTCTCACCTCTGAAGAAGGCAGAGTCCACCGCTTCCAACAACATCTCCGTCGGGATATTCTCAGTACCGACCTCGAAGCCGAAGCGGATACTCCTTCCCAAAGCCGCGATGCGACACAGATTAACGCTCTGCGTGAAAAGCTCGAGCTTCTCCAGAGCAGCGACATGCAGTCTCGCATTGAGCTTGTGGGCCCTGATAAAGCACTTGAAGAGCTGGGGGCGAATTTTGAAGAGTTGCTTGCGCTTCGCGAACGGGATCCTGAGTCGTTTGAGACCTTCAAGGCGAGCCAGATTGCTGCGCAAATCAATGCCGGGTTGGTGGGAGAGGAAGAGGCGCAGGGGGAAGGAGAAGGGAAGAATGCCTCCCTCGATCCTACCGATCCGCGATGACCTTGTTTACCGAGGGCTACTCAACAACCAGCCATTTTCTCTCCACATTCACCTTAGCATTACGTGTGACTTTTATCTACTATTTCCCATTGTTGATTTCGTTTGAAGCTTAATTGACCACAGTTTACGAAAGCCCATCACCCCCTGCGACATCTATTCCACATATACATAATTTCTAACGGTCACAAATCACTGCTCGCTTAATACTAAAATTCCCATCCCTCTCCATTCCAAATAACCTAACCTGTACATTGCCCTCCACTCGCGAAATGGCTTGCACTTGACTCGCGGACTAAAAGAACAAAAGGAAAGAAAGAAATTCGCCCTGGTGGCTTTTTTCCTTAGCCGCCATTTCTGCAAAATGTCACCCTTTGTATATACACCTGCTTGCAAAATTTTACACCACCAGTACTTTATTCTTTGAGACATGTATATGGTATTTCTGCCCGCTTTTTGGCAAATCTGCCCCTTTTGCATTTTCACATTAGCAGCACCGCAACCATTAACAATCGGCCTTATTCATACTTACGTTCATATCTTTTCTTTTCTTTTCTTTTCTTTTCTTTTTTTTTTTGCTCAATCTAGTCTATTATCTCCAATATTTCTTCGTTTTCAACGTTTTATGTGGGACTTTTTCTCTATCAATTTTTCTGTATTTAGCGAGTGACAGCGATTTCTTTATATTACCCACACTGCATTGGAATTTCTTTTGACATTTAAATATATCCAGTCGTTTCTATTGTTCCCATTGATGATTCAATATTTGCGCATGGTTTTGATTTTCAAATAACCACACACGGTCTTTTGATATTTAAATTCGATATAATTCACTGACTGATAAATGCATGTAGTGTTTTGCAATGAAATATATATAGTATATAAATCACACCATAAATGATACGAAAGTTTATATAAAATCTACCAGCTATTCAATGATATGAATTTGGATTTCGGGTTATTCAGTGAGTTGATACCCGCGGATTTGATTCGCCCGCTCCCCTTTTCCTTCACTGATCCCCTAGCGACATTCTGCCTATTTTTCCACCTCCCTCCCCCTTCTGCATCAGCATGTCTCTCAAAGCCCATCGCGATTTAAATAGGGTACGGAACTTCTCGTTGCGCACAGCGAGTAAAATGCTTCCAGTGGGGAGTTCAGATAAGCTACACCGATGTCCCCTAGCCTGGGCATCTAAAGACGCCGCTGCAGACCCTGCCACAGATGTCGGTACTCTAAACTTGAAGCTGTACGGAGTAAGTATGGAGTAAGATGGCGCCATCAACCTTGAAGCCCTGCGGAACCTGCAAAGCACCTTTCACTCTTCATTCCAAGGTTGCCTTTCTTTTGCTTTGTTTAATTTTTGTTTGCTACTTGATATTTAAGGCAGATAGATATTTAAGTGGAATTCATGGTATACTACTCCTTTTCCATGATAGCACCGATAGCTTGGCCCCGGATGATAATCTCACCAATCGTCAGAAAACGCAACCACGAGTGGCACAGTGGTAGAGTGGTTAATACGTGAGACTTGAATTTCCCCAGATACGGCTGAGTCCGTAAATGGCAATTTTCACCCATCTCATGCCTTCGGGCTCGTAGGTTCGAATCCTGCCTGTGTCGTTTTTTTCGTTTTCTTTTCTTTTTTTTCCCCTTGGGCACAAGCATCCCGGTTCAGTTACTGGAAATCTGGAAATAATATTAATGAACAGGATTATATTTGAAGCTGCAAGTGTTGGGGCTCCTGGCGCCCAATGATCAGTGTCACAGCCAGCAACAATTCATCAGACGGGTCTGTCGAAGTAGTTTATATAAGCTGGAACACTTCGGCCGTTCTGTATTCACATGCCAAATTGGAAACCGACGTCCCACCAAGTCTCGTGACTTCCTCTTCGAATTCATGGATCTTTTGCCCTGTTCATCTTCATTCATCCTCAACGCTTCCTTTTCTTTGCGTTTCTTCTCTTCTTGCCACCCTCCGGTTTCATTGCCTGACTGACCTCTATTTAATTTTTGATTAGTCCTTCTTCATAAATTATTTAATGTCATTTAATTGGTTTTCCTTGGGCGGTTTATAGAGAAATAAGCTACAAAAAAGATTCCTTGTTTGTCCATGACGCCATGGTAACACAAGCTACTATTTAGGGAGTTCCGGTGGCCTTTCATTCCAATTTCTTTTTGTCTACTTATATAGAGGGAACTTATAAAGACGAGGACACCGTTCAATCGGTCCATTTCTATTTTCGAATACGTTTCGGAGCATGTGAACCACTCCCCGTTACTACCTATCGCCAGCCTTCCACGCACAAGAAAACTGATAACAATATATGCGCCATCCTCGTTTTTGAACCCCCCGACCCTTCAAAATGGCTGCGCAATCCAAAATTTCCCTCGCAGATGCATCACTCAAATCCCTCCTCTCCTCCCTAACTACCCATTACCTCAAACACCGCAAACTCATCACCCGGGGTGTTTACCTAAGCCTCTTCCTCACCGTCATCAAGCGCATCCACAATGCAATCGCGGAGCAAAAGGCGGCCTCCCGGCGCATGGCGGAGATGCGCGGACGAACAGGCACGAGCAGTATTAATAGTAATGGGGACACTAATGATGATAATAATAACGGCAAAACTAATAACGGGGCGGAGACCACTGCGCGGAAAAAGGTCGAGTTGAATTGGGAATTCGTCAAGAATCTGCTGCGCTTGTTGAAGATTATTATCCCCGGATGGAAGAGCAAGGAATTGAGACTGCTAGTTAGCCATTCCGTGTTTTTGGTGCTGCGCACGCTGTTGAGTGTGTACGTTGCGGAGCTTGATGGGAAGTTGGTTAGTAGCCTTGTGAGGGGCAAGGGGAGGGAGTTTTTGCTTAGTCTGACGTGGTGGATGGCCGTTGCGGTCCCAGCGACGTTTACAAATTCTATGGTATGTTTTTTATTAGTTTATCTGTCTCCTTTGGCGCCCCTTGCGCAAATCACAAGAGGGCGTGTACGGATGTGAAGCTTATGTGGATGCGCCTACTAACATTTGGTACAGCTTTCATATCACCAATGTCAGCTGGCTCTTCAATATCGGAAACGTCTAACGGAATATATACATGATCATTACCTCTCTAACATGTCTTTTTATACCCTATCCGCCTTGGATGACCGGATCAAGAACCCAGATCAACTCATAACAGTTGACGTTTCACGTTTTTCAAATAGTCTGGCAGAGCTTTACTCGAACCTCGCAAAGCCGATCCTCGATATGGCCATTTACAATTATTCCTTGTCTAAGAGCGTGGGTGCTGAGGGCCTTTTCATCATGTCACTCATTGTTCAACTATCTGCAAACGCAATGCGAGTCCTTACGCCTCCCTTTGGGAAATATGTCGCCGACGAAGCACGGTTAGAAGGAGAATTCCGATTTCAGCATACGAGACTCATTGATTACAGTGAAGAGGTCGCCTTGTACCGTGGCCATGAGGCGGAGAAGAATACTCTGGATAAAGGTTATTTTACGCTAATCAAGCACGTGAACCGCATCTTGCGAAGGAGGCTCTACTATGGTTTCATGGAGGATTTTGTGATTAAGTATTTCTGGGGCGCGCTGGGGTTGATTTTGTGTAGCGTTCCGGTCTTTTTTAAAATTCCTGGACAGATCGCGGCGACGATGGGGGATAGGACAGAGAGTGAGTTGCATATGCGCACCAACCCCTGCTACCAATGATTTCCATATTAACTTCCACACAGGCTTTGTTACCAATCGACGCATGCTACTGTCTTCCTCCGATGCTTTCGGGCGGGTGATGTTTTCATACAAAGAAATTTCTCAACTGGCCGGCCATACCGCTCGCGTGTCGTCTCTTCTCGATGTCATCGATGACGTCGCTGCTGGGCATTTCGAAAAGAAGCTCGTTTCTTCTGCTTCAACCGAAGAGAATGCTGCCGTCCTTAGCGGCCGTGGTACTATCACAGAAAGCGACTTCATCGAATTCGTCGATGTCCCCGTCGTGTCTCCTAACGGGGATGTTCTGGTCCAGAAACTTTCCTTCACCGTTTATCCCGGCGACCACCTACTCATTGTCGGCCCCAATGGGTGCGGGAAGTCCTCTCTCTTCCGAATCCTGGGTGGTCTATGGCCTGTATACGGTGGGACAGTCAAGAAGCCCTCATTCGAGGACATCTTTTACATCCCGCAACGCCCTTACCTGTCCCGTGGTACACTGAGGCAGCAAGTTATATACCCGGACGGTCTACGCGAGATGCACGCCAAGGGCGTCACAGACGAAGACCTGTATGAAATCCTCAACGTCGTGGAGATCGCGTCCATAGTCGATCGACCGGGTGGATGGGATGCAGAAGAGGAGTGGCGCGATGTCCTTTCTGGCGGCTTGCAGCAGAGAATTGCTATGGCGAGACTCTTCTACCATAAACCGAAATACGCAATTTTGGACGAGTGCACATCCTCCGTGACGCTGGAGATTGAGAAAGTTATGTACGAGACTGCCAAGAAACTTGGGGTGACACTGATGACTGTGTCGCACCGACGAAGTTTGTGGAAGTATCATAAGAAGATATTGCAGTTTGATGGGCAGGGGAATTATGTTTTCACCACCTTGGATTGGGAAAAGAGGCTGAAACTTGAGGAGTAAGTTTTTTGGGAGCTGTCCACCTTTTATTTTTCTACTCTTTATTGATTCTTATCTTGTACTGACTACTCGAAAAAATAGTGAGAAAGAAGAAATTGATCTCCAACTCCGTGCAGTGCCGGAATTGGAAAAGAGGCTTTCGGAACTTACAGCCTCGTAAAACTTTTTTCCGCAGTGTACGCTTAACTGCTCCTTAAATTTCACCAACACGTTCATCATGCACATTCGACCAAACAACTCAAAATTCTTCTGGAGTCATACAACGTAAAATGCTAGATTTTACTTCGCTGGGTACGTGCACGATACGGACACAACTTCACCTACGTCTTTTCTTCCTGGTACTTTGGGACAAAACTCATTTTATTCATCAGTATTTGCCGGGGTTTCCGAACCCTGAAAACGGAGGGGGCTTTTTTTGCCTATTTGTGTCAGCATTTCAGCGCGTGTCAAATAATATGCGGAACATTCGAGGGCTATTTATTTTCTTTTATATCTTCCCTGGTTGGAAAGTTCACTGAGCAAGGCAACTGTTACATTTCAGTTATGATAAGAAATATACTATATCCACCATTTGTATATTCACAATAAACTTGGAAGTGCCTTTTCATAAATTCAAATGTGTTATTGTATGACGCATTTATTAGATTTGTGGTCGCTACTTTTGTCTTCAATTCAGCTTTTTCTACCTTTCTAAATCCGTTCAGAGAGGGTATGGGAATCCAGAAACAAGAGCCTCATCGGTAGGAGCAGATTTCAGTTTGAAACCAAAGATCAAAAATACATGCAACGGAAAACCTAGCGGAAACAGGTACACCGCGGACAAAGTCGACATCACGGCATTTCCTGGGCACTAAACTAATGATTCCATAAACGCAGTTGATTCTTCCCTCCTTCACGCGGTCCTAACGATATAACCCTAAAACTTCATCCCAACCCGTTACCTCTTCGCCAGTCGCCCTCCCGCACTGTGACCTAGGCACCATTTTATCTTTTAGCACACAACTTTCCAACCCTAACCAAATCCACCCTGAGGAGCGCGACACCATCTGACCAACCTCCGTTCTGCTTGGTGTTATCACCGTCTGGTATGTTGAAACCAGCCAGACGGAAGACTTATGGCCCTTGAAACCCTCATCTCACACCTAGTAATTGTGGTGGTGCACGAGGTAGACAATCTTGCCATTTGTATGTATCTAGAGCGAAACGGAGAGGTGATAGGGATGGAAGGGGAAGTGGAAATTTTGGGACTGGATATGTGATCGGGGGTGTTATAGATAGACTGGCAGGTGGACGGACCATGAAGCTGCTTGGCAGCTGGCCTAAATGACTGTGAATGGGCTAATATAACAATAGTGATAACGTACGAATCGTTAACGGGTTGCATAACTCCTGAAATAGACATCACCTGGTAAATAAAAATCCGAAATCGTATAACATTGCCGCCCGCATGGACTTGATTATGTTAAGGCTACTCAAACACCCAGGAAAAAGAGAGCATAAAACCCTACGACAAGAACAATTTTCGATAATAATAGTTGGCTATAAAAGAGTGTAAATCGAACACAGCACTGGAACCACTTCCAGCTTTCCTCTCGGCCTCCTGACACCAGGAGTAGAACCTATTCAGTGACCTCTACGGGCTCCACGTTCCAAATACTATCCGCGTACTCCGCAATAACCCTGTCCGACGAGAAAAATCCCATCCTCGACACGCTCAGAATACACTTCTCCAACCACCCGTCCTGATCCTGATACGCTTCATCCACCATATCTTGAGTTGTGATGTACGAATGGAAATCGTCCGACACCAGATAATAATCGCCATGCTGGGTGATTGCTGAAATGAGTGCTGAAAATGAGCCAGCCTCACCGAAGATGCCTGAGCTGATACTGTCAAACACCGCAGCCAGATCACTGTCTAGGGGGATGCTATCCTTCTCATAGAGATGGGCATGACGGAGATCTTCGACATCTTCAGCGAGGGTGCCGAA